GCTAACTTCATTTTCCCTTTTCACCAGAGGCAGCTCCTTTAATGTACTTAATCTGCATCCTTCAATTTATGATACACTCTTGTAAAATATGTAGTGATATTTTGGGTGGGAATGAAATTTTAATATTTATAACTGGTGTGACACAGTGCATTCACTGTTCTGTCTGTCTGTAGGCTTTTACAGGTCCATTCATCGTACAGAGTTTACATGGAATTTGTTGCTGCATAGTAATTCATAAAGTTCATATCCCACATGGTACTCCCAGGGTAGACAGTCAGTTACTTTACTATCAATCAAAACTAAGATTAAATACCCTCTACATGTTCTCCTAGGTGAGAATTTCTCTGGGAGTGGGATTTGCTGGTCAGGGTTTACCCTTGACTGACTTGATGACATTTGTTGATTTGACTGAGTATTGTCGTAACAAATGGTTGGCCCGGGCTGCACAGCCAACTGTGCACAGGGTCTTTCCGCCACCAGTGCTTGTCTTATCCAATTTTCTAATTTTTACCAGTCTGACTATAAAGTATATTTTACTATAATTTACATTTCTCTGGGCTACGAATAAAGTTGAGTATTAGTTAAAATGCTTGGTATTTATTTTGTTTTTCCTTTTAATAGATTCTTGACCATATCCTTTGCCCATTTTTTAAAAATTGGATTTATCTTTGTTGTTGTGGCTTTATCAGCAGTTCCTTTTATTTTCTAATTACAGTTCTTTGTTTAGACGTTTGAACTATCTTTACCGAATGTAGTATGTGTTTTTAACTTTGTTCATAATATCCTTCGGTAAATAGAAATTCTTCGTTTTGAGGTGCTCAAATTCATTAGTTTTAACTTTTTTTATAAGCTATATCTATTTGGAGGTCATTTTAAGAAATCTCCTCCTCTTCCACAGAGATATTCTCCAGCATATTCTTCTGTTAGCTTTACCTTTTTATGTTTTACTTATAAATCTATCTGGAGTTTACCTTTGTATATGGCGAATAGGGTATACAAATCCAGTTTTACTTTTCTCATATATTATGTGTGAATACATTTTTTGAGTTCCTTAATAAATGGTGCTAAAATATTGATTGGAATTACATAGAATTTGTAGATTAATTTGGGGAGATTGACATCATTATAATGTTAAAGTGTTCCATTCATGAGCCCTGGAATATTCTTCCATATCTTTCAAATTTTAGTTTGGATACTTTCAGGTAGATTTAAGAAATCAGACCAGCTAGATATTAAAAAGTTGACTTGATTGATGTAATCAAATTTGTCAAGAGAAACATATAGGTACACTGATTAATTTTATAGGTTAATTATGTAGATGTGAAATCATCGCATTAACTCATTTAAGATGTATGTTTTTGTAGTCCACTTTTATATAGTTTCCTTTAAACTGAAATTTATCCGCATTAGCTAGATTTTAAATGATTTTTTAATTCAACAGTGATTTTCACTTTTTGTTTTATCATCGAAACATGATAAATGAACAGCTGTTATGAAAAGAATTACTATTTATTTGACTACTAATGGGATTTTTATTAGGTCATATGGTTTAAGATACTTTTCTGTTTTTTGAACTGCTCTTTAAGTTAGCATTGTGTTTTGGTAGCATTGATGCAAAAATCTATCACATTTAAATTGGAAAATGTGGAAATAGCGACAGCAATTTTTACACCAAAAAATGTGTGTGACAGTTTTCGGCTTAGTTTTGGCAGCTCTTACTTTAAAAACCTACAATATATTTTTATAAACACTGTATTAAAGAACAATTATCGGAGGAAGAAAGGATTTTGAGAAGGAGTTGTTTTCATATTTGAGTCTGATGGAATCCTTGGTGTCGATGGCCTTAGGCCAGAGACCACCAGGAACACCCCTGTGGTGAGGAAAGCGGCTCAGTTAAAGCCTTGCACCGAGGGACCAATACCCTGGGGACCCAGGGGCATCTCATGTATATCCTGTCAGAGGACCTGGGCTTTGGCTGGGTGGTTTGGGAGAAGTTCCAAGGCTGGAGGGGTGCTTTAAGATTGGCTGCTGAGACCATTCCTTCTATGACCACCTCCTCCGCCGCTGCCTGGTGGCATCTATCCAGCCCAATTTCGCCCTCCGCATTCACTGCGGTTACCTTTGGCTGGTGTCTCTGTTCATCCTTTTATCTCCTTTCAGTGAGTACCTCCTGCACAGAGGAAGCAGGAGAATCTTTTCAACAATGTTAAGCCACATCACACACTCCTCTCTGAAAGTCCCCCCTCACCCACTGCAAATGAAACAGCCCAGGACTCGGACTCCTTGTGGCCTGGCAGGCCCTGAAGGCCCTGCTCACCTCTGTGGCTTCACCTGGCTTTCCCTTTCATCTTGCCGCCAGTCACCTGGCTGGCTTTTTTGTTCTTGGAAATAATCAAATTCATTCTTGCTTTAAGTCCTTTGCTCTAACAGTTCCCCTCATGGAATCACCAGTCTGTGCAAGGCTGCCTGCTTATCCTTTATTCCTTAGAGATCAAACCGGTTTCCCTGTTTGTAAGTTAATCTTTATCTAAATTAGCCTGGTGCACTCTCTCTTACTTTGCTTTATATTATTTGTAGCATTTATCAGTATGTGAAGTTAATTCATTTATTCTGTTGGGGGTCCTCCTTTTTCCATCCGACTTCACTTCCCACTTCACGCATCAGCTCTCAGTGGGTGAGAACTTGTATGTCTGTACCTTTCTAAGTACCCACCCCTAAGGGAGTATCTGGCACAAAATAGGTACTTAAGAAAAACCTATTTAGTAAATGCATGCATTTATGAATGAGTAAGTGAACAGACAGCCAAATAAGTGAACATATATTCTAGACATAACTATATGTCTGTTGACTGTTAACACTTGTTAGTTTATTATTTAATTGAGATTTAAGTACCTGGAAAAAAATGTCAATGTGTTTCTCTGGAAATATGCCTTAAAATATTTAAGGTAATTCCTTGCTATAATGTTCTTTTGAGCATCTATGATCTAGGACTATAGTTTAGATGGGATAGCATCATAATGATATTTTTCTGGTGCTTAAAATAATATTTGGATGCATTTCTTTGGAGTGATTCCAATATGGATGTATTTTCATTTACTAATGTCACAATCAAATCAGGACTTTGGGAGAGGTGATGTGGGTAGAAAAATAACCTGGGTAGTAGAAGTTTCCATAGAGTTATACTTTATTAATTTGGGGGATGGTACGTATAAATTACATATGGAGTTATGTCTATTAAGTTTGAAGATAATTGTAATTGATTTTACTATTTGTTTTTCCTACTTTGTATTTCTCATTGTTGCATTTAGTATTTGAATTTGACAGTGATTTAAAGTAACTCTTTTATTTTTCAATTTAAGGATTCAATTTTGTAAAGACTCATAATACCAAAACCTAATTCATAGTGTGTGAGTGCTGTTTTTCAGTGAAAGATGAAATGTGGTATGAAAATGTTACGTGGAGGGTGGAAAAAGTTTCGAAGCAGCCAGCCTTGGTTTGGAATCCCTCCTGTAATTAATACACCAGTATTAACTCCACAAGTTTTTAGTGTCTTTGAGTCTGTTTCTGCATCCACAGAGGGGGTGTAATTTTTATGTACAGGACTGTGTCATGAATTCAGACCATGTATTTAATTTAAGTGTGTGGTGTGGTATATAGCATTATTAGGTTCTGGGTAATCGTAAGTTTAGTGCTTTTTCTCTTTTTTCCATCAGCAGGAGAAGGAGGTATTTGACTTTCCAAATAAAAAAAAAAAGATTATTCTGTGTAGATAAGGGCATAAAGTATGTAATATTTGACATTATTTCTGTAATCAGTGTTTGACCCTGTAAATTGCAAAGAGCATCAGGCACAATCATATTAATGATAATAACAAATACTTACTGTTTGCCATGTATCAGACACTGTCTTAAACACCCTACATATACTAACTAATTTAATACTCATCACAAAGTCCATTAGATACTAATTATTTTTCCCATTTCACAGATGAGTAAACTGAGGCACAGACCTAAGTTATAGGGCACATAGGCACATCTGGGCTTGAAAGATTCTATACTTTTTTATGCATTAAAAATGATACTTTAAAACCCCTTTCATTCTTCAAGTAGATTCAGTAGTCACCCAAAGAAATAGGTTTTGACACATAAACATCCCCATCCCCACCTTCTAGCTGGGAGGGACTCTGGTTTTAGGATTTGACACCCCATCTCTTGTGTGCGAAGGAAAGAAGACAAGAGAAGCAACCCAGTTTGAGGGATAATTCTGTTTGAGAACCATGCTATATGGGCAGCTGTTGATGAATGAAAGAGTGATGACTTTTATTCTTTTTAATGTTGAGAAATCATGATTATTTGGGGTAAAAAACAGAGTTTTTAACAGGAGCATATATGGAAATATTTAGATACTGATTTTCACACAAATGCATTTGTTAGCAGGAAGGGTATAAAAGAACTTTATATCTGAATAAACCACATATACTTAACTGTTGTAAGACGTATGTTTTACTGATATGTTCCAATGCCTATGAAGCCTCTTTAGCTTTGATCTTGTTTAGTTTTCCTGCTTTTCATCCCGAGTTGTTCTATGTCATTTATCAGTTTTTAAATATTTGAATGAGATCTTTGTTTATTTTAAGGTGATTTCTTACAGTTTCTGGCTCAGTAAGTATACAGTAATTTCAGGCCTCAAAGACCCCTACTGAAATGTGAAAGACCATGAAGTCTTTGTAGGTGATCTTAAGATAACATTGTTCTTGGCCTTATGATGAGCTGTATGTGTGTATCAGCTCTGAAACATAATAATTACTTTAACTTTTTAAAGCTTTGGTTGTATTTAATCTCTTGGTTTGATGAAATGTTAGAGTATAAAGAAAGACATTTCCATCTTAAAAATGTTTTATGAAGCTTTTCTCTCCCTGTGGAACTTCCTGATGGCCTGATACTATGTCTAGTATAATTGGATTGATACTCAGCCTGAATACTTCTTTCTCTTCTCGGCAGCATGGGGTAACCTTGGAAATGTTCTGAAGAGTCAGAGCAAAATTTCTGAAGCTGAAAGCGCCTATAGAAATGCTTTGTACTACCGTAGCAACATGGCTGACATGCTTTATAATTTGTGAGTATGCATTGCTTTCTCTGCTTTGGTTCATCTTTGAAACCTGCGGTGAGAGGGACTATTGATTTAACTGCAGGAAATGGAGATGATGATAGCTGTTCTTCTGAAATAGTCTGTTCATTAATTATGCCTCACAGACTAGGAGATGGATGGTGTTTGTGAATTCTTTGTTACGGGCCATCTCATCGATATTCACGTGTATTGATATGGCACGGCTGCATTTTTTTTGAAGTACTATGCCATGTAACAAAAATTGCTTAAAATGCTTTTAGTTTTTTTTAAAGTGTGTTCCATGAATACTTAGATGGGTTTGTAAGATAAACCTGCTATGTTTGATACTTTATATAATTGATATCTTGATTATGAGTAATAATAGATGTTATTCTCTATTAAAAAATTGCTTCCAAGTATATGCAGGACATGTGTTAAATGTGGGGAGTTAGTGAACAAGATAATGGCTCTTCTTTTATTCGCCCCTCTTCAAAGGTACTAGTAATTAGGTTGGGATAATTGGATAATGAAGAATATTTATGTACGCTGGGTTAGAAAGATCCCTAGGGGAAAAACTGGTTCAGTTCTTTGAATGAAAAGTCCCTAGGGGGTACGGTGAGATGTGAGTGGATAAATGCATTAACCAAAATCCTTTGTTTGGTCTCTTATATTTATGACAGTCTTTTGTTTGTAAGGAATGGAAACCTAGTCTAACCTTGCTTAAACACAGAAGAGATTTTATTAACTCCCATAACTGAAAATCCCCGGAGTTAACTAGATGTGGCACAGTTAGATCCAACTGCTTTATTATGTTGTAAGAATTTGTCTTCAATTTGTGGCTCTGGTTTCTCTGGGTTCACTTCATTCTCTGTGGAACTCTGTATCAGTGGGAAAGGTGATTCCTATCCCTTTATGCATATATCATCCCAACTCCTCAATCTCAGAAGGAATTGTCTTGGTGTCTCTATTAATCCTGGAAAAAGGCCTTGATTGATCTTCCTGGGGTTATGTGTCCTCTCTTGGATAAAACACTGGGCAGTGTGGCAGAGGCTGTAAGATATCTCTGTTGACAGTGCCACCAAAGTTGGAATGGAATGGAATGGGAGGGGAGGGGAGGGGACCAGTGGGGACCAATTCCCTGCTGGAAGGGACCAGACGAAATAAGATGTCTCCCGCTGTGTTTAATGAATGCTATGTGATATTGTCAGTATCAAGCTAATCTGCCAGGTTTAACTTTTAGTATGTATTTATGCCCTGGTTACGTCTAAATCTTTTGTACTGTCTAAATCTGAAAGCACAGATAAAAATGTAAAAGTAAAATAAATGAATTTTTTTTTAGATATGTAACGGAAAGCAGACAGGGTGAGCTCAGTTTAATTTCCTGTTTATATATTTAACTTGTTTTTAACCTCCTAGACTTTAACACTGGGATCTCAGTCTCATGGCCTGTGGTCTAAATTAAGGCAGCACATGTTTTGTGTTGACCTACACAGATTTAATTTTCTCTTTTTTTACCTGGAATGCCTTCGGATGCAGCACATCCTCTCCAGTTTGCACAACCCCCGATGATCTCTGCGGAGTTTCATGCTTCACCAAATATATCACCATCCTTTCCCTGAAATTGAGTTTACATCTTTTTTTTTTTTTTTTACTTGAATGAACATATCTAGATACTCTTACAAATTTTTTTTTTTTACTTGAATGAACATACCTACTCTTACAAATTTTTTTTTTTTTTACTTGAATGAACATATCTAGATACTCTTACAAAGTCTTTTTCCACATATTCTTTTCGTCTAAATAATGCGATGTTACTAAATTATTGATTAATAGAATTTTTATTTCATGAGAAAAACCTTATCAGTTTGATAAATTTACACAAATGTTCCTTTTTTTTTTGTATCTGAAAATAATGTTGTCAAAGGCGGCCTCTTGCTTTGCAATATGGGATGTGAGTTTTCTTCTGGTGCTCATGCCTCATACATTTTGGGGGAGAAAGCTGACCAACCAGTACCTGTTTGTCGAACTTGTTTTTCTCTCTCTTATCCACAGTTGATGCCTTTTGGGCAAAGGTCGAAAAAGAAAGGAAATGTGTCTATCCAAGCTTATTCTTTTCTGAGAAGAGAAATTTATTCTATTAGCTAAATTCAATTTATGTTAATCTAGAAGTTGCAGCTAATAAAACTCTCAGTCTGTATACATACATAAACTATGAAAGCATATACATATACCTCCCCAAACCCTAATGGAAAGTCCTTGTTGGAGAAATGATTGTTAACAAGATCAGTCCCCCTCCCACTAATTATAGGAAAATCAGATATGTCATAAGTGCCATAGGTAGCTCCAAATTTTTTTACTAATATGACTTTTTTTAAATCTACATTTAACTGTTAGCTCAAAGGGAAAGGTGTAAATTCCACAAGAAATGCTTTCAATGACTTCAGTGTATTAGATTATGTCACCCATGTGGTTTAGAGAAATCTGATACTCAGTAATTATATTTCAAAATAGGGAATTTTTCAATGATTTTTTAAATCGAATATCAATAAAATGCAACGAGATAGGTCTTTTATAATCCATAATATTATAAATATATGTGGTATCATTTGTCCTCAGGAACAACCTTTTTCTTTTCTATTTATTTACATAGGTAGGAAAAGAAACAGTTTTCTCAAAGATAGTTTAGAGAATATTTGAAAATTTATTTTTTCTTTTGAGATGTATATGCTATTTTTATTATGTAATTCTCTCTGATGTGTAGAAATTGCTCTTTGTTCTATATCAAATCCTGAAAGAAAGCGAATTTGCCTTTACTCAGTCTTACCGGTAAGTAAACTTAACCTGATGATGCTCCTTTGTGGTCGGAGCAGGTTTTAATCACTTTTTATATCATCAGTTACAGTTATGTCTCTTAAAGATGCTTTATGACCAAAGCCTGAAACTAATGAATATATATTAGTTACATGAAATACTCATATTCGCTAATGTATTTTAGAGGCTTTTGGGAATTATAAGCTTCTGCTAGACCCTGTACTTAACTTTTAATAGGTAACCTGATTTTTTTGAACTCATTCAGTGTTTATAAAATTGCTTTGTAAATTATTTAAAATTTTTTATACTGTTAGAAATGTTTATTATGGAAATAATCTAGAGATACCTACCGTTATGTAACTCCAAAGCAATCATTCCTAAAGTGAGGTACAGCACCACTCGCAGCCAGAGGTCGGAGACAGTCCTTAAATTCATCCTTGTATATTTAATTTTATGTTTAAATTTAAAAAATATGACTAGCACATTTAAAAGCACATCTAAATACTGTTCTATGTGATGATAGAGGAAAAATGATTTGGAAAAATATTAAGTAAGTAATAGTATAAATGATATTTGGTTATCTCTGATGCTAGGCAACATGCCTTATAATATTTTCAAACTCTGAGGACAGTTTTTTGCAGGATGAATATGGTTATATATGAGAGATGCATATAAATTATTATATTTCCTGTTTATAAATTGATGGAATAATATTAATTTTTTTCTTGATAGCAGTTATTTGAATTACTTGCATGTGCAAAATGAGGAAAATGAAAAGCAGGCAATTTCTCTAAGGTCACACAAATAGTTGAGGAGTTGGCATTTGAACTTAAGATGTATTAACTCTATATCCATACCACCATATTTCTGCAGAATAAATGAAGGATGTGGAAAAACCCCTCAATATATATCTTTCAAATTCAGAAAAAAATTTTTAATTCAAATAAACTTTACACATAGAAATAAAATACTTGGAATTAAATCTAATAGTGAGTATAAGTTAATTTTTTTCTGTTGGTTACTGCACTTACTGAAATGCTGTAGAATTTTGTTAGAAAGATCATCAGTGGGTTTGTACAGCTGAGCTGAGAGTTGCTTTCAAGAAGAAATTGCTGCAAAAAGCCTTTTTAATTGTCTAAATTCACCCTGGCTGGTGTGGCTCAGTTGGTTGAGTGTCGTCTCCTGCACTGCAAGGTGGTTTGTTCGAGGTTTGATTTGTGGTCAGGCACATACCTGAGTTGGAGGCTTGATCCCCAGTAGGGGGCACGCAGGAGGCAGCCGATTGATGTTTTGTTCTCACATCGATGTTTCTCTTTCTCTCCCTTCCTCTCTCTCTAAAAATCATTTAAAAATATATATTTCTTTAAAATAAATTAATAAATAAATTCATTAATTATAAACTTTTTTTAAAAAATATATCTTTATTGATTTCAGAGAGAGGAAAGGAGAGGGAGAGAGAGAGATAGAAACATCAATGATGAGAGAGTCATTGATTGAGCCCGCAACCCTGGCATGTGCCCTGACCGGGAATCGAACCCCGATCGCCTGGATCCTAGGTTGATGCTCAGCCGTTGAGCCACACCTGGCCGGGCATTAATTATAAACTTTTGATAGCACTTTAACCCATGCTTACAGATAATAGTCACATAATATAGAATTTAAAACTAAATTCTCTTAATAGCAACAGATGTAGTACACTTACTGCACAGCCTTATATTCAGCCTTTTATTCATATTGCCCAATTTATTAAAATCCAATACTTCACACGATTTTCTAAAGACCATGTTTAATAGATATGCATTATGATGTTGGTTTTTATTTTCAAGTATAGTAAATTTTAAGAGACAAAGCAAGTGGACCATTGCTCAGTATTTCCAGTGTCAAATTTTACAAATACATAGTCAGCTTGAATTCAACCTTGTAACTGCACCGCTCACTGACATCTGAACTAGAATTGATTTCTAGGCTGAAAAGTACTCAGTTGATGTTTTTTCATTGTTGTTATAGATTTGTCCCAGTCACTCTGTTCCAAATGATATTCAAATAGGTAATTCAATAGAACATTTAATATTTCATTAGGGATTAGATTTCAGAATGCAGATAATAAATATAGGGTTGGGCAAATGTAGGCTTACAGTTGTTCGTATGGAAAACAATACAATAAAAAATAAATAATAATTCAAGAATAAACTCTTTTT